ACAGGGAACATGTATCCAAATTCTTTTTAATTTATTTAAGGAATTTAAAAAATTGCCCTGCTCACAAATTGTGTCTCTGGGCAGAGGACAGCAGTGAAAATCAAAAGCAATTAAGTAAAAAGATGAAGGCAATACAGAAACGATATAACACAACATATAGCCAAAGTTATAGCAAATACTCTCACACAAAATGATCTCATCTATCATCTTGATCATGCATGGGAGAAGACCAGATCTTCACAACTCTATGAAAAGCCTGTAGGGTTGGGACTACTCAAACATTGGGGTGGGGCTCATTTCAAAGGGCAGGAGCAGCAATCGAGAAGGCACATCCTAGGTCCAATTAGATGACATTGCTTCAAAAAAGGGACCTGGAGCATGCCCACCCAATGCAACCTTATGGGGAGGACAGAAATAACAGGAGATTGGCGGTCTGACAAATAACCTGGCCTGTGCCATCTAGTCCTTATAGGTGATTACCAACAGTTTGATTTGCACTCAAAAGCTTATGAGAAGCCAATGCAGCTTGTGAAATAGTGGTGTAACATGGGTATATTGAGATGTGTTAATAAACTCACTGCTGCATTATGGATTAGCTGCAGCTTCTGGATGTCCTTCAAAGGCAGACCCACGTAGAGCACATTGCAAAAATCCAACTGAGAAGTGACTAAGCCATGAATGACTGAGCAGGGCCTCCTTATCCAGAAATTGGCCTAGCTGGTGCCCAAGATGAAGTAATATGAAGGCCTTCCTGGCCACGGGTGCCACCAGGAGAACCCCAAGTTATGCACTGGCTCTAAACCAATCAGTGGCTACTACATTCTGTGTCTGAGAACTCAACTGAGTATCTTAGAAAAGAATATCTCAATGGTAATTTACAGTAAGTGCAAAGCTTTGTTGCTGCCATAATTGAGAAAATATTTTTATAGTAGGAGTCTGAAGTTTGATGACCAAAACTCCATCCTCCCACTTCTGTTAAATAGCCCAATTTTTAGGTTGTTCTCAATTGTGAAGGTGCACATAATTAATTATTTTCTTCTAGTTTTCACTGATGCAAAGAAGAATAAAAGAAGATATGTAACTGGAAAAGATATACCCCCATTGACAGATGCATTTCCATAATTAATCTCATATACATTACTTGGTTATGATTATCATTGTATCATAAAAAAAACAATCAATACAGAAAACTTACAAAAACTCTTTGCTGCAAACTAGTGGTCATTCAGATTTTTGCAGTCTATATCTGGTGGGGATGGTTGGGGATGCTAGTAATAGTAGTAGTAAATTTATCATGCATCTATAACTAAATGCCATACAGACATAGGGTAACAACAACAATTAATACTATAAAACACTATAAAAATTATAAAATCACAGTTTAAAATGAAGTTCCTCTAGACTAAAAGGGATGATAAAATCAACATCTCATTCAAACTTTTTTTTAATTTTAAGTTTTAATTGTTTCACAAAGACTCAAGAAAATGAAGTGTTTTAACTGCTTATTTAAATTTAAAAGGGTTCTGACTCCAAACATTATTCTGATAGAAGTCAATTCCAAAGAACCAGCGCTAGGTGAGAAGAGTCTCAACCACAGATATTCTAGTATGCAGGAGAACCAGGTGATCCTGGTCTAGTAATTAGAACAAGGGTAGCCTTATACTTGGAGAAAAACAGCCAACATAAATATGCATTAGAGATAGTCCTCACTTAACTATAGTAATTGGGACCGACAACTCTGTTGCTAAGCAACGTGATCGTAAAGCGCAACATCACATGACTTTGCCGACTTAATAATGGCTGTTGTGGCAGTTCCAGTTGCCATTGCTAGGCAAATCCCACACAGTCACAGCATCCCGTGGTCACGTGATCGCCATTTGTGACCTCCCGTCGGCTTCCCCGTTGACTTTGCTTGCCGGAAATCGGCACTGAAGGTCACAAATGGCAATTGTGTGACACTGGGATGTTGTGGCCATCGTAATTGCGAGCCGGTGGCCAAGTACCCAAATCGCTATCACGTGACCACAGGGACACTATAACAGCTGCAACTACAAGTATTGGTCATAATTCCCCTCATTCAGCACCATTGTAACTTTGAACAGTCACTGAATGAGTGGTCGCTGAATGAGGACTACCTGTACACTGTTCCTTTTGCAGGGTTTCCCAAACTCTAAGGTTTACCTCCCTTGGGGAGGTGCAGACGGAGCTCAGGGGAGGTGTGAAGAACCTTCTAGTCATACATTGTTACAATAAATCCACCTTTCCCAAAATTTCATTGTATTGTTTTCATTGTTCAGTTGTGTTCATTTTGGTGTTTGGATTTTCAGGGGAGGTATGTACATTAAGATTACACTAAAGGGAGGTGTGAGGGCAAAAGGTTTAGGAACCTTTGCTTTACAGGGTAAGCAGATTATGCACACTTCAGACAAGGACTAAGAGATAAAGCAAAGGAACCGAACGTATGAGATAAGGAAAAGAAAAGGAAAAATATAGCTAAACCAGTTTATGTCAATTCCATTCAATATACCACTCTGTACCTTTCTACCCTTACAAACCATCCTTGCTTCCATCATTCCCTTATACCAATTCACACAGCAAGTATTTTTCTTCAGAATCTTTCAGGGTCTCATCAGCTCCATCCATTCATTATGTTCTTGGTCTTCCCCATCCTTTCATCCCATTCACTCTTCCTTGATATATTTATTGTACAAGTTGATCATCATTCATTCTTCCTATATAATCAACAACCTCAGTACACTTATTTCATACTGATAATTCACTTTTGTATTCAGTCCACATTCAGCACCCATTCGTGCTTGACCCAATCTCTTGTATGTGTTACCATGTACGCTTAAGTACCCCATTCCCACTGATTTTTATATAAGAGTAATTGAAATGGAGATTGC